GTCCTACCTTTCTGACCCTCCAGAAGATACAGAGGACCTTTCCTACTCAATTATAGGTCTAATGTAAAACCTTAGAAAAACAAAAATACAGGCCTGGACCAGCAAAGCCAAAAGGGGAAAGGTCAGTTTGTCAATATGGGGCAAAGATGAGAAGAGCAAAGTCTGGGCCAGGAAAAGACGCATAAATATTTGCAAATGCTATATCTTTCACTCTTTTGGAAGTCATCTGCTCTCCGGCTTCCTTATGATTCTGGCTGGAGTAAGGGAGGAGAAAGAATTAAAAACAACAGTGATTCAGATTATGAAGATATCAAAGCAAATGAAATGTTTGGACCACCTTCTTCCTCTAGCACTTTTCTTCCTCAAACCAGTGAGGGTCTCCCACAACTTGTAAGAGTGAAGAGGAAGCTTATGTCCAGGGTAACTGAAGTTTGTAAGAGCTAAGATACTTCCCAACCTCTTCATCATGACCCTCTCCCCACATCCCCACCTGAGCACTGCTTCTTTACAACAGGGCTGATCCACTGAGCCACTATGACCTAAGCCATGCTATTCCTTTGCTGTGTCTTCCTGTCCCCAGTGGCTGGCTTTCCAAGAAGTACCCAGAATGAGGTCCTGAAGCTCCAGGCATCTTTCACAGAGACTGAGCACCCAACACAGGAGCTCTCCAGCCAGCTTCCTGTCCCAGATCCCAGCACCTCTTGCACACAGATCTCTTGCACACAGCCCCCTTCTTAGCCCCTCTGCCTGAGTACCTGTCCAATTTAGCTCTAAGGGTGGCCTGGAGGAGGTTGATTGCCCAACTGAGACCCACTATCTGCAGCTTCAGCTTATTAGGGTGGGAGAAAAGGACCTCACTGAAACCCTCAACCTTGAGAGTCAGAAGCATAAAGAGGAGGAAGGGATTGACAGATAGTACTAAGTACTAGTTGAACTAATACTAATATATTTGTTAATCTTAATGATGTAGTGGTCCCTCAGGGAAGCTGGAATGAACTCAGCACTCATCTACTCACTCTGAGGAAAGTATTGATAATGGTAAATATTTTGGGTTGGTCCGTCTACCAGTATGCTCAGATGGTGATTGAATCTGCTGGGAAGCCTTCTCCCATATGGTTAGCATCACAGTTCAAAGCTTTTGCTAGAACTGCAAGTGTGAGTCTTGGGAGCATATTGAATAATTAGACAAAAAGCTGAAGAATCAGACTGAGGATATAGCTTATTTAGTAGAGTGCTTGCCTTGCATGCATAAGGCCCTGAGTTTAATCCCCAGCATCACATACACACACACACAGAAAAAAAAAAAAAAACCCCTGAAGAATTCCCTATTAATTAAGAATCTTTCAGGGATGGGGGTGTAGCTCAGTGGTAGATTGCATCAAGTTCCATCCTCAGCACTACATAAAAACATAAATAAAGGTATTGTGTTGATCTACCACTAAAAAAAATTTTAAAGAAACTTTCATGTTCATAAACAATGATAATATAATGTACCAAATATTCCGTAACTATTCTGAAGTGCTGTATGAGGAAAGTGATTCAGGAATCATGTAAGCTTACTTCAGATATTCTATACCATATAGTGGAGAAGTTTTACCCACGACTATGTTCATGGGATTCAGTAGGTCATTAGACGTGTTGGAGATTGTTTAGGACAGATGCATTTTCTTTATTTCATCCCTGTGCAAACATACATATGACTCGCATTATTCTTGCCCCTCCCCACTTACTAGGTCTCAGCCCTTATTTATTTATTTATCTTTTTATTTATTTATTTTTTCAGTACTGAGTATTGAACCCAGGAGTGCCTTACCACTGAGCTACATCAATGACCAGCACTTTTTAAAAAATTGTTGTTTTTGAGCTGGGCATGGTGGCACATGCCTGTAATTGCAGCTGCTTGGAAGGCTGAGGCAGGAGGATCGTGAGTTCAAAGCCAACCTCAACAATGGCTAGGTGCTGAGCAATTCAGTGAGGCCCTATCTCTAAATAAAATACAAAATAGGGCTAGGGATGTGGGTCTGTGGTTGAATACTCCTGAGTTCAGTCCCCAGTTCCAAAAAAAAAAAAAAAAGTTGTTTTTGAGACAGGATTTTACTAAGTTGTGAGACTGGTCTTGAACTTATGCTCCTTCTGCCTCAGCCTCCCAAGTCGCTGTGATTACAGGTGTGTGCTACCACAACAGACTTCTCAGCCCTTATTTCTCATCCCATTTTGCCCCTCTGCTTTCTTTCAATCATCAAATATTATGCATTTAATACATACAAGGAATAAGAGGTATTTTAATCTTTATTAATAAATTCATCTCCCCTTTCCTTCCTTCCTTCCATCCTTTCTTGACTGAACCCAGGGGCACTCTACCACTAAGCTACATCCCCAGACCTTTTTACTTTTTATTTTGAGACAGGGTTTTGCTAGGTTGCCCAATCTGGCCTTGAACTTGGAGTCCTCCTGCCTCAGTCTCCCAAGGAGCTGAGATCAAAGTGGCTTACTACCCCACCTGGCTCCCTCATTCTTTCTAAAACCCCAACTAGATGCTAGAGCTTGCTGATTTATTTTAAAACTGAAAAGAGAAATAAAATGAAAGACTTATGAACATCTAATCTCTCCTGATTCTGAATCTTCCTGGTTTCTATCATGAACTGAGTGGCAATTTGGCAGGACATATAGGGAATGTCAAAGGACAAGGTCTTAGGAATTGAGGTTGAATGTGTGACAAGTGGAAAGGTCTGAACACCCAGTACAAATGGACAAATATTTGCAGATATTACACCCCTTACTGATCACAGGGTAAAACAAATATCTCCTTTCCTCCTGGGACAGAGAACTGGGCAGAGCAGGACTGAGAAGCAACCAAACCTTCCAAGGCAGTGTCACTTCTCAATAGCTGGATTGTGTGGTAATTTGGGGCCTCTAAAAGTGGGTGGAAATAAAACAAAGGAATTCCCTGTGACCTGAAAATGGGAGAAACCAGGTGGGAGCAACTGGGCTGCATTTCCCATTTCCTAAGCCCTGAATTGAAAAGAATAGAGGCTTTAGCCTGGCAAGGTGGCACAAGACTGTAATTCTAACTATCTGAGACTGAGGAAGGAGGATTGCATGTTCCTAAGCCAGTATTGGTAAGATTGTATCACAAAATAAAAAGGACTGGGGATGCAGCTCAGTTGCAGACCTCCACTAAGTTCAATCCCCTGGTATCTCAGGAGAACATTTTTTTAAAAAGGAACAGAAGTATGGAGGTAGGTGATAGATGATGTATGTGTCCTTTGAGTCTTGGGCTCCTTTCAGACTATAGCCCTTAGAGAAATGGTTTATTATGTTTTGGATTTCTCCCTTTTCCAGGGTACTCTGCTTCAGACATGTATAGCTTCAGATTCATCATGATACCAGTTGAGCTTCTTCTTTGCTACCACCTGCTGCATTCTGTGGATGCCATTTCATATAGAAAGCAGACAAATGTCTCCATGCACCTTTCCTCATCCTTGGGATCCCCTCCACTCTTCTCAGGCTCCTTGTCTTGCCAGAATCTACATCCAAAGTCTCTACCTGGTTTTGCCCACATGGCCCCTCTATCCAAGTTCCTAGTAGGCCTGGCTCTAAGGAACGCCTTGGAGGAAGCTGGCTGCCAACCTGATGCCTGGGCCCTGCAGCTTCAGCTCTACCACTGGGGTGGTGTGAATGCGACAGAGGGCCTCATTCACCATCTTCAAGGGCTCCAGAAAGGCAGAAGTACAGACAGCAGAGTGTCAGTGGAAACCCTCTCCTCTGTTCTGCAACTGTTAGCCAGGGAGCAGCCAGGGCAAAAGAGGGTGAGGCGCTCCTTCTCCACTAAGGACTGTGAGAATGAGCAGGAACAAGGTGTGCATAATGTCATCCGTCTATTGCCAGGAGTGGGAACCTACTATAACCTGGGCACAGCTCTCTACTATGCCATTCAGAATTGCTCTGACAAGGCCAAGGAACGAGGTCAAGATGGAGCCCTAGATCTGGGTTATGACCTTCTGATGACCATGGCAGGACTGTCAGGAGGGCCCACAGGTCTAGTGATCAGTGCTGCACTTAAACCAGCATTAAAGGCTGGTGTACAGCAACTGATCCAGTATTATTATGAAGAGAAAGAGACAAACATCCCTCAGCCAGAGACCAGCAAGGAGGGCTTGTGGAGCACCTCAGATGTGAGTGACTTGGAAGAAACAACTACCATGTCTCCTTTGGTGTCAGAAGTAGTAAGTCCAGGGCTGGGGATGTGGCACAGTGGTAAAGTGCTTTTCTGGTATGGGTGAGGCTTTGGATTCAATCCCCAGTACCAAAATAAGAAAGAGAAAGTAGTAAATCCAGCTCCCCACTGGGGGTGGAACTTATTCAAGAGATGCGCTTAGATCTTGGTGTTGGAAGTTTTAGGATAGAAAAGTTGTTAACCACAGAATGAATAAATTGAAGATTCTGACATACTGTATCTGCGTGTGCTTAAAAATCCCTGAGGAGGGGCAAGGGATCCAAATCTCCTGATTTTTTATTCAGGAGGAAGATAACTCTATCAAATACAAGGAACTTAAAAGTTTGGGGTTTGAGGGCTGGGATTGTGGCTTAGGGGTAGAGTGCTCTCCTAGCACATGCGAGGCCCTGGGTTTGATCCTCAGCACCACATAAAAATAAATAAAATAAAGATATTGGGCTAGGGATGTGGCTCAAGCGGTAGCGCGCTCGCCTGGCATGCGTAGGACCCGGGTTCCATCCTCAGCACCACATACAAACAAAGATGTTGTGTCCGTGGAAAAAACTAAGATATAAATATTTTTAAAAAAATTTCTCTCTCTCTCTCTCTTAAAAAAAAAAGATATTGTGTCCAACTACAACTAAAAAATAAATATTAAAAAAAAAAAGTTTGGGGTTTGGAATTAGAAGATAGTCTTGAATCCAAGCTCCATTTGTTATTGCCTGCTGATCACTGAATAAGTAGTCTCTTTCTCGAAGTTCGTTTTAAAAATTTCTAAAGTGGGGATAATGATTTATTTTCACCTGAAAGTGTTGTTGTGGAAATTAAAAACAATACCAAGAACCTAAAGTGTTTATCTCTCTACCCTCAATAAATAATAACAACTATTTCTCCTTACCGCAAGCCTCTCCTTTCTAAAGTATCGAAGTTCTAGTCCCACCTCTTCCCCTCAAGCCCCGAGTGCTTCCACGGTTAAGTCAGTTTCGATTCCGGGTGGAGGGAGATTCGGGTTCTCGAAAGTCAGCTGTTTCAGTGCTGGGCTAGTCCAACAATTGGACTCCTCCCCTCGCAGGATTCCTCACCAATCACTGGAGCTGGAGGTGTGGCTTGGGCAAAGTTTGTCCCGCCCATTGCAGAGGGCGGAGATGTGATGGCACCAACCCGGGGAAGGGCTTGGTGAGTGGCAGTAGTGCCAGGGCTGAGCTTATGGGTTCATTTGCGACTCAAGCCCTCTAGGCTTAGAGTCCGAAGGGCGGGACGAAGTCGTGGGCGGGGCAGGAAGCCTTGGTACCTCAGCTACGTTTGAGGACTGGAAGTCTCGATCACAGCCACTGGAGGGACCGGTTACTGGGACCCTAACGAGGTACCGCCCCTGAGAGAGTGTGGGAGATTGGAGTGAAGGGGCAAATTCTTGCCTGGGAAGGGCTGCTGGTCCCAGGGTTACGGGCTAGACGAGGCAACTTCTGTCTTCTGGTGGTAAATAGGAGCTTTCTGCTGTGTCCTGGATCTTAACCCTCCTGTCCAGTCTAGCTCCCCAATTCTACCTCCCCCTCCCAGAATTCCCCTGCAGCCTCGGAGGCCCGGAACCTGGTTTTGTTACATGGATTCGATGTCTTAATCAAAGCTTTTGTCTCTGTCCTGCATTACTTTTTGTCCTTACCAAAAAGCAATGTCTAAAGATAGACATGATGTATCATCCTCTTTGTTAAGTAAAAATGTGTAAGTTGCCCTGTGTGGTATCAAATAAAACAAAACTGTCTTTTGCCTATCACCAAGCGGGCTGTACTGGGCATGCTTCTCCCCACTGCCATCTGATGTCTGTTAAGGAAATTAAAACATATTCTTGTTGCATCCTGAGTCTAACTGAACAGAACAAACATGCACATTTGTGTTCTAAAAAGGTCACATGACTTTATACAGAGCAAAGAAAAAAATTTTTCTACTAGGATGAATTAACATGAGCTGTCCCTCTGAAAATAGGAACAGAGGAGGCGAAGGATTGGGCAGGAACTCCTGTTTTTAATTTTAACCCTTTTTATAATGCTGGATTTCTTCATCTTCCTTTTATTTGCTGTTGCTGGGGATGGAACCCAGGACCTAGGGCCTCAGATATGCTTGGTAAGGGCTCTACCACTAAGCTACATCCTAGCTTAGTGCTTGATCCTTTTAAACTATATATGTTTTTTTGTTTTGTTTTGTTTTGGTACCAAAGATTGAAGCCAGGGGTACTTAACCACTGAGCCACATTCCCAGCCCTTTTTTATTTATTTTTTTTTTATTTTGAGACAGGGTCTTGCTAAGTTGCTTAGGGCCTTGCCAAGTTGCTGAAGCTGACTTGGAATCCTCCTGCTTCAGAAGCCTTCTGAGCTTTTAGGGTTACAGGTATACATCACAGCTCCTGCAAAAAACAGTTTTGTGAGAAATTTCTGGATCTTAGAGCTGATAATCCACATGGAGAATCAGAGATTGAAAGAGATCCTAAAAATGTCACAGTCTGGGTTGGAGATGTAGATCGCTGTGATAGAGCACTTGCCTAGCATCTGTGAGCCCTGGGTTCAATCCCCAGCACTCCAAAAAAAAAAAAAAAAAGAAATCACAATCTTAGGAATTGAATGACCCTTTGCACAGTATTTAGACATCTTCTAGCATGGAACTCCTCCTTCTTAGATGGTGAACAGTTTGTAGGGTGTACTTTCCTTACCTCTAAGAAGGTTTCAGTTCCTAAAAAAGCTTCATGGCCAGCAGAGATCATAAATATTTAAGACCAACACTGATATTTACTCCAGCCAAAATGAATATAGACACAAACAAATATGTTTAAAATAAATTAATCTAGGAAGATAGACGAAATAGCAGAAATATTATTATTTGTTAAAGTTGGGTGATGGATACATGAATGATCCTGTCATTGTATTTATGTGTGTGTTTGAAAATTACCATTATAACAAAAAGACCTCACATATTGGAACTATTGAATTATATTCCCTGGAAGAATATTCACTGAACTATAATAGAGATCATTTCTTTTTTTAAAATGTTTTTTTAATGTTTATTTTTTAGTTGTAGTTGGACACAACACCTTTATTTGACTTGTTTATTTTTGTATGTGGTGCTGAGGATCAAACTCAAGGTCTTGCACGTGTGAGGCGAGCGAGCGCTCTACCGCTGAGCCACAATCCCGGCCCCCAGAGATCATTTCTGGAGATGAAGGGAAGGAAACAAGATTCAGAGTGGGGTCAATTTCAGAGTGGGGTCAATGTAGGCCTTAATATTTCTGTGTTTTTTTTAAAATTTACTTATGTATTTTAACATTTTAAGCTAGTAGTAATAAACAATCACAAGACTATGGGTAATTTAGACCAGCAAAATATTCAATTGAGAACCTTCATCCTTTCAACTTAGAGCCCAAATGGCGCAGTGGGAGATGCTGCAGAATCTTGATAGCCCATTTCAGGACCAGCTGCATGAGCTGTACTCACAGAGCCTCCTGCCAGTGGACATTCGACAGCACTTGGCTGTCTGGATTGAAGACCAGAACTGGTGAGGGCTTCTGCAGTAGGGGAGTGGAGTGGATGAAGAAGATAGGTGATTCCTTTCTCCTGATCCCTGGGGATCCCGGAAACAACCTGGAAGGGATTGGAGGGCCTCAGGACAGCAGCTACCTTGCAGAGATTCTAACCCTTTTCATTCCTGGTCCCCAGGAAGGAAGCTGCACTAGACAATGATAATTCCAAGGCCAGCCTGCTCTACTTACACTTCTTGGAGCAACTGAACTATGAGATTGGCCGCTGCAGTCAGGACCCTGAGTGCTTGTTGCTACAGCACAACTTGCGAAAATTCTACAGGGACATTATGGTACCTGGATGAGTTGGGAATAAAAAGGATAGAACTGGCATCCAAGTGAAGTGTAGAGTAAGGTTTGGGGTACAAACCTGAAGATGCAAATGGAGAAGAACAGATCTGGGGAAAGAGTCTGGACCTTGGGGATCATTAGCAGAGAGATGAGCAAAGTATAGCTGATAGTGTTGGGAAAATGCTAGAGTTTGGGGTGGAAAAAAGAAAGGGCTGGGGACTTTGAAGAAGGCAAAAATACTAGGAACGCTAGTGGGAGGATCTAGGGTGGCTGGTCATTGAAGATGATTGAATATGAACAATTCTCCCTCTTTTCCTACTCTAGGACTTTCCACAGGGCTCCACCCAATTGGCTGAGATGATCTTTAATCTACTTCTGGAAGAAAAAAGAATTCTGAATCAAGCCCAGAGGGCTCAGGTGGGGAAAACAATTTTATGATGATTTTGGAAGTCATGGAGTAGAAAGGGGTCCATGGAAAGGACTCCTGGGATTTGTCTCAGAATAGGATCCCCCCACCTCACCCATCCTATGGAATTATTTTAGGGATGAAAGGATTTAAGAGATAAAAATCAGGGTTAAAATTTGATCAGAGCCTCTTTATTACAGGAGCAAGGAAAGCCAGCCCTTGAAGCATCTGTGGATAGCCAGCAGCCTGAGATTGAATCTCGCATCCAGGATTTAAGGGTTATGATGGAGGTTGGTCATTGTGGCATGAGTTTGGGTGGGCAGGGCTTAGCCTTATTCCTTCCTCAGAAGCAGCCTCATCGAGGTCCCATCTCCTCTGTAGAAGCTGGTGAAATCCCTCAACCAACTGAAAGAACTGCAGGATATCTTCAACTTCCGGTTTAATATTTACAAAAAAGGTAGAAAGCACTTAGAGGGATGGGAGAAAGACTGGTGGCTGCTCGGAGGGAAAGGGTGATGGAGCACAGAATTGGAAAGTTCCAGTGAGCAAGTCACTTTTGGCCAATTCCACTAACTGCAGTTCTGTTGCCTTGCAAAGCTATAAATGCTAGGGTGTGCTATGAAAGTTGAGGTGGAAATGCAGGGACGGAATGGAGGAAATGCATGGAAAACTCCATTAGCAGATTGGATGGACTTTGGTCCCTTCAGAATTTGCTCAAAGGCCCCCCTGTGCCTTTCCTTTTTTTTTTTTTTTTCTGTTTCCCCTTTTTCCTCCAAAATTTCCCCTCTCTGACTCTGAGATCTGGGCT